TAGCATGATGGTGGCAGCCATCATTGGCCTACTGGTTATTGGTAAATGGATCGACTACTCCAGAAGATACTAGTAAGATTACATTAAATAATACTAACGTTGAATGTTGGTAGGATTTTATTGTAGCAATTTTAGCTAATATTAAGCTGCTATTTTAAACAGTTGATGCATTAATTAATACTTTCAAAAATAAAAGATAAATAAAATAAAAGATCTGGCTACAATATTGCCAGTGAGCATGTCTTTGTTAATGATAAATGTATGTGGACACAACTCTTGATTTGTAATGGGGTAGTTGCTGTATCTCAATGCTTATAGTGTTCTTCTTTCTCTTTATAGTGCTACTGTCATATTTGCGTCATTCTCTTCTGTACTTATTACACTAACACTCTCTCTGCTGATCCAATTCAAGCTATCGTTCTACTTAATTTTTATTACAGGCACTCTTGTAAGGTACGAGAAAAATAAAGAAAATCATTTTATAAATAATAAATTTTCTCAGCTGCTCGATGAGTTTACTTGGAGGCACTACGTTTGAATATGCAGTAGAAATGACCTACCCACTGCCTGAAAGTATATCTGCTGGACTACTCAACCTGTTCAATCAAGTAAGTAATAATACTATGTAGTACATCTATAGGACGCTTGCTAAAAATTTTTATTTAAGTCTTCAAAATTTGGTTCGTTAAAAAAAATAATTGTGTTACTATTTTTTGTAGATAATGGGCATAGTGATGGTCATCACAGTGGGTCAGCTGGTTCAGCATAAACTAGCCATGTATGGTAACTATGTATTCACTGGGCTACTACTGCTTGCTAGTATCATTGTTGGTAAGTAGACAAAGTCAAATGATGAGGATTTTATTTTTTTATTTTAGTTTTTATTCGTCCAACACTTCGTAGAGTTAAAGTTGAAAATGACACAACTTGAGATGTTTTATCACTTAAAATTTTAAAGTCATAATGTCTGTGTGTGTAATAATAAAATTATTGATAATAACAATAAGACAAAAATATGATCGAACAGTTAATAAGTTTTAATCTTTAAAATAGCTTTAAATCTGCAAGACTTTAGAAAATGTAATAATAATGTCAGTATCATGGATTCCCACGCATTGATTAAGTTGTGTGGGCGTAAGATTAATGTAGTAGGCGGAGTCTATTTTTAAAGGCGGGAAGATGTCGGCAAACAACAACTCTGGAGCAGGCAAGGGATTGCCTCTTGCCAGGTAGGTATCCCGCCATTTAACTATAAAATATCCTCTTTTTATAATAGGAAACGAGCTAATAGGAGATCATCAGTAAGTCTACCAGCCTGTCTCCAGCAAAGAGAAATCTTAGCCTTTGTTTTGTTTTGAATCTTGCTGTCCATTAAGACTTCAAATCTTCCTGTTCTTATTCTTTATAGATATTGAAGCCCTCAAAGTCAGATGCCCTCTCTTCATCTATATTGGCAGATAAAAGGTAATTATAATTATTTATTAATTTTGTTGTAATACAAAATCTTCATTACATGTACATGTACATATATGTATCCTCATATGTATCAAGTTACATGTATATGTATTGTTAATTCATACTTTGGGAATTAGGCATCCATTCTGCTTGTAATGTGTGTATATATGCAGGCTGTGTTAAAATTTTATGGGATGCATTTACCAATTGTACAGACATGTATATTTTATATGAATTTTATTCATTTATTTCTTTTATAATTTTTTTGTAGAGGACAGATGGAAAAGAGAAGAGTTAGCTTTAATCAGAATATCCTCGTCAAGTATGTAACAATTATTCATTCATTTATTGCAATACAAATACATGTACATAGTTCATGTAAATATACTAGCCAATGAACCATATACTGTACTGTACATCTTCACTGTGTTCTATCCATTAGGGAGTTTGCTAAACAAAAGGAGAAGAAACAGAGTAAGTGTACATGTAATAGTCCAGCCTATACCTTCTCTTATCTTTAGTCTGTTTGACATGTTGTATACATGTACATGTATCTTGAGTTATAGTTATAATTGTAGTCTATTATATGTACATGTATTGTTTCATTTATTTATTTGTTTGTTTTTTTGTTTTTAGATGACTCTGTCGAATCTTCGGGTTCAGAGACTTCGGCCACTAATCTCTCTAAAGTAAATTATTAAATTATTATTATTTATTATTATTTATTATTATTATTATTATTTGTTAGGTGTATGAGACCCAAGCCAACGAGTCCTTCTTCCAAATCTCCACTCCAACCATCGGAGCTAAGAAGAGACGCATCACTGGGCTACCTGACCGACTCTCCATCATTCCTCAAGCATATAAACCAGACCTGGAGGACGACCTTGAGTTTGAGGTATTGTGTATAATCTGATATTAGATGCTGTATAACTAGTACAAATGTGTATTAATTTTCGTACATGTATATACTATAGCATTATATTAATGATATTGTTAATAAATTAGCACAATTTTTTAAAGTAATTGAAACCACAGTACATCTATATGAGGA